CCAGTGGAGAGACTTTGTGGGGAGTGTGGCCACCTCCCTCAGGGCCTGAGAGAAGATTTAGACCCAGAGCACAGCCCTGAGTACAGGACAGCTGCCAATTGCAGTCTCTGACATCCCCATGTTACAGAGATACAGAGGCACAGGGCCCGTCCAGCTAACTAGGGGAAGAGCTGGACTCTGGGATGGCCATCAGGGGCCCCCCTAGCTGTCCCACCACAGCCACCTCCAGTCCCCATCCTCCATGCAGTCCCAGCCCAGCATCCATGGGGAGTCCCTTGACCCAGTCGCACAGGCTTCCTCGTGGGACGGTGACCCCCTGCCCTCTGCTGTCAGTAGGCCCCAACTGTGCTGAATTCCATCCCTTCACTGCCACTCAGGCAAGTGCTCCCACCTCGCTCCCCCTCTCCCAAGTTCAGCAAGTTCCCTCATTGATAAAGTGGGACCCTAATTATCTGGACTCAAAGAGCAAAAAAAAAAAAAGTCACTCAACAGCTACCAAGGAGGAACTGTAGCCATCTGGCCACAGAGTAGGAACCGTGGCCAGGCTTCCCTGAATCTGCATCTTTCCTCTCTCCCTCTGTGAACCAGCTCCTTCTGGCTCTCCACACATGAGGCTGAAAATGCCACTCCTGACCACAAGGTCAAGTGGCCAGCAGGGACCAACCCATGTCCCAGGTCCCAATTCCATTTCCCAGGGAACAAGCTGGCCTGGGGCACACATGTCCTCGCTGACATGGTCAGCTGTAAATGAAGGAGCAGCAGCACACGGGACAGAAGTGGCAATTAGCCTCTCAGCTCAGGGCAAGGCACAGAGCAGAGGGCCAGGACCGGTTACACTCCAAAGCCGGCCCAGAAGGTGGTCCCCTAAAAGTGCTGTGTGATTCAGGGTGCTCATATGGGGGAAGGGGGGGACTCAGCAGTCAGGGCATTAGCAGCAGATCTGGCCCTGACCCTGACTCCTCTTCTTACTGGCGCTGGGACCTGGTGGGGGTGATGTCTTCTCTCCAGGCCTTGGTGGCTCACCTTCAAAGGTAGGTGTGGGTTCTCAGAGAGGAGGGCCTGCCTGGCAAGTGCCAGACAGGATGGCAGAGTTGGCAATGGCTTCTGTGCCCAGGTATCCCTGGGCTCCTGTGCAGGCAGTGGGCCGTGTGTCCTACTCTCGTGGCTTTCAGCCATGGTTGGAGCCCATTGGCCAGAATGATGTACACAGGCCAGCCTTGCCTTGATGGGGTGCCGGGGTTTGGCTGTGTCGCCCAGGAGTGGCCATTCCCTCCCCAGGCTGCCCATGTTCCTGCCACTCCCACACTGACCCTGTGAGCCTCAGAGAGGAAATAGTGCGGAAGGCTGAACTAGCACTCCTAGCTGCCACTGCCGTGCTTTGCTCCTCCGTGGTGTAGAGTGCAGTGGCCTCTGGACAAGGGGCCTGGCCCCCATTCCCCCTGCTAGCCTCTTCCTCACACCCAGATCCCTGGGTCCTGTCCCTCCCTCCCAGTCAACCTGCACCTCAGCGTCCTGGGCAGGGCCAGACGGGCCACCCTGAGAGGCTAGGGTGGATGGGAGCTGCCAGGCAAGGTGCTCGGAAATGTGGGGATCCTGGGGCTCCTTGTCTGTGTGTCTGTCTCTGCCCTGACGTCTGTCTCATCAGGGTCTGTCTGGATCTGCCTCTCCGTCTGCCTTGAGAGGGTCTGGGTTCCTGGCCCCGCCTGGCTAATGCTGCCTGAGCAGGTCCTTCCAGTGAGCACCTGTCCACACGCCCACACCTCCCTGGCCAGGGCCTCCTGGACCTTCAACCCTCCCAGCCTTGGCTGTAGAATCTGCCTCCGATCTCCCCCACATACCTACCCAGCACCCCTGCCCTAACCCACCCCCCACCCAGACCTTGAGTTTCCAAACAAAAACCCCATCTGTCAGTTATTCTCACACATTCCAGGAAGAGGAGAAATTGGCCCAAATTCCAGCAAGTCCTTGGCAGCATTTACCAAAAACTTTAGAAATGTGCATACCACAAAGCTCTCTGTTGCACATTTCTGTAATAGCAAAAAGTGGGAAACAGCACGAGTGCCCACCCGGGGGCCTACCTGGGGACGCAGGGCCTGCCCCCCGAGTGCAGAGTGCAAGGTGGCCATGAAGAGGGGCCAGCAAGTTTTGCACTGGCCCTGGAGGGATCCCCAAGGATATGTGACATCTAGGGGACAGTTGCTCAGTGCAGCGAGAGAAGATGAGATAGTATATGGAACAGAAAAGGGAAACATACATCTTATCTAATGATATTTTTAGAAAGAAGAAATAGAAGGGTGAACCCAGAACTAAGTGAAATTGCTACCTCTAGGGCAGAGCAAGCGAGGACGGGTGGAAGCAAGACCCCCCTGAAATGTACCTGCTTTGATGCTTTGGCTTTGGAAACAAATGTTTTCTACAATTAAAAAGAAGAAATAAATAAATTGTTTAAATTAAAAGCAAATTGGGAAAAAAAAAAAAAAAAAAACCCTGAGCGTCAAGTTGGTGGAAAAACCACAGTAGGAAAGACTTTGAAACGGTCTTTTAACTACAGGGCCCTGAAGGGGTAAGAACAAAATGACACAAGGACACCACTTTCCTTCCAGTGGACTCGCTACTGAAAATACTGTAATGCTATTCCAAATGTTCATATGTAATCAGACACAGCAAATAATATTGTCAGGAACAAGATTTTCACTGTAAAAGTCACATAGATACCACATTTTAACAAGCAAAAACCTTATACTCTCTACATGGAAATTGCCTCATTTTTTTCTCCCTAAAAACTGAAACAATCTTTCCTTGTCACTGAAATGCCTAGAACCAAGGGGAACACAGGAGCGGTGAGCACCTTGTGCCCACGCTGTGTTCTCTGTGACCCGCTTCTCAGAGCAAAGCTCTGTCAAGGCTGGGTAGGTGCCATCAGGATGACACGGAGGCACCATGGTAGACATTCTGTGGGGTGGCGTGAACATCGGGAAGCATGTTCTTGACTGCAGTGTGTTCATGAGGTCAGGGAGGGGGAGCACCGGCTTCCCCTGTGCCGCCTTCTACACTCTGTATTTTAGGGTGATCATGAAGGGAATAGGGAAAGTTCATTAGGGTGTTTTTCAGAAGAACGAGAGCCTATAAATGAGGAGGAGATGATAGCATTTGGAAAACCACTATTGCAATCCAGCAGCACTCAGGGCTGACACACAGCTCGGTGGGAGGCTGGGGGTATCCAACAGTGGAGGAGGCGGCAGAGAGAGGTGAGCCTACTGGAGGAACCTGATATCACAGCAGGAGGAAAAAGCAGACGTTGGCCCCCTGAGAGCGATGGAGAGCAGTGATGAAGGAGCATGTCCAACGCCACACAAGGAGACCGGGCAACTCCAGTACATGCAAAATTCTGTCAGACAATGACTGGTTTCTCCAATGGACAACGTGAAGAGGGAGGGAGGAATGAGTGACCAGGAACGCAACTATTCCAGAGCACAGGGGCCACCCGGATTCTGATTTGGATAAACCCACTATAAAAAGACATTTTGGATTTGACGGGAGAAAGAAAGTCGGCCTTTCTGCAAGTCAGGGCTCTGTCCCTTGAGGGCTGGTCCCAGCTCGGCACAGGACCACAGCCCCAGGCACCAGCTGCACCACTTGCTGTACCATGTGGCCAGATGCTTCCCACAACACACAGCTGACAAAGTGGCCTCAGGCCTACCCCACTTCCAAGAATTTATCCTGAAAAAGTCATTCAAGGTTTTATGATTCAAGTGGTTTTATAATCCAATTTCTATTAGCTACAAAGATGCTTATTAAAACATTGCTAAAAATATTTTTTAACGTAAGCCATCCAAATATCAAAAGCCATTGGTTTTCATTTCAGCAAGATGAAAAAGTTCTGGTGATCCGCTGCTCAGTGGTGGGACTTCTTGCTACTGAACTGTACACTGGATGGTTCAGATGGTAAACGTTATGTGTATTTTACACAATTACAAATTTAAAAGCAGTCGGGGTGCAGTGGCTCACACCTGTAATCCCAGAACTTGGGAGGCAGAGGCGGGTGGATTGCCTGAGCTCGGGAGTTCAAGACCAAGCTGAACAAGAGTGAGACTCCATCTCTAAAGAAATAGCCAGGTGTTGTGGCAGGCACCTGTAGACCCAGCTTCCTATGAGGCTGAGGCAAGAGAATCACTTGAGTTCAAGAGTTTGAGGTTGCTGTGAGCTAAAATGCCAGGGTACTCTACCAAGGGTGACAAAGTGAGACTCTGTCTCAAAAAAAAAAAAGAAAAGAAAGAAAGAAAAGAAAAAGAAAAATTGAAAAGCAACAATATTGCTTATAGTGGACTATGGTTAGAAACTGTATTGTGGAAGAAAGTTTAATGTTAAGGCTCAGCGCCTGTAGCACAGTGGTTATGGCGCTGGCCACATGCACTGAGGCTGGCGGGTTTGAGCCCAGCCCCGACCTGCTAAACTGACAACTGCCACAATAATATATCCAGGCACAGTGGCGGGTGCCTGTAGTCCCAACTACCTGGGAGAGAATTGCTTAAGCCCAAGAGTTTGAGGTTGCTATGAGGTGTGACACCACGACACTCTACTGAGGGTGACGTAGTGAGACTCTATCACAAAAAAAAAAAAAAGAAAATCTAATGGTATGGAAAAATAAGGGTAACCTTTTGAGGTGACAATGCAGGCAGGTTATTAATCGTATGTTCAACTTGACTGTGTTTGGGTACATTTTTAAATGTGTGAACTTGCAGGGCCCTGTCCCCCAGAGTGCACTGTGTGAAGGTGCTGGGGAGTGCCATGCTAGTGCACCCACCTTTATGGATGTGGAAACTGAGGCTGGGAATGGGAAGAGGCCAGCGCGGCAGAGCAGGGCCTGGAGCTCCTACCACGCACCTGTGCATCCTAGGGCATCTTCCTGTCCCCTCAGGCTTGTCTTCTCAGTGTTCTGAAGCAGTGAGGGTGACTCGCCATGAGAAGCGGTGGCTGTGAGGTTGTGGCCTGTGTTGCAGGCCGTTGATGGAGAAGGGGGCGGATGACAGCCGGGACGGTGGTGATCACCGGGGGCATCTTGGCGACTGTGATCTTGCTCTGCATCATCGCGGTCCTGTGCTACTGCCGGCTCCAGGTACTGCCCGGGGAGCCCCGTGGGCGGCTCTGCCCAGGGAGGAGAGGGTCGGGACCCAGGTGGAGGGGAGAGAGAAGCAGGGGCAGAGGAGGCCCATGGCAGATAGCCCTGGTGGGCCCCACGCCCCCTGACCACACCCCGCCAAGAGAGAGGAGTCAGCCAAGAACAAGTGCCCTCCCCGGAGCACACCCGACCCATGGCTCCCGCAGAGGGCAGGCTGCACAGCCAGTGCCCATGAACCCTAGCTCTGTGGCCTAGGCTGCCTGCTCCTGTGCCCCAGTCTCCCTACCTGCAAAATGGAGGGGGAGTGAGGGGCAGATCTCGGCAAGGGCTCGTGCTGCCAAGCAGGAGCTCATGTCCCAGCGGCTCCTCTCCTGCCGCTGGGCTGCCGGTGCACTGGGTGGTGCGGTCACTGCCACTGGGCTGCTGGTGCGCCGGGTGGTGCGGTCACTGGCCCTCCACACACACCCCCTACAGTACTACTGCTGCAAGAAGGACGGGTCGGAGGAGGAGGAGGAGGAGCCGGACTTCGAGGTGCACTCACACCTGCCGCCGCTGCACTCCAACCGCAACCTGGTGCTGACCAACGGCCCCGCGCTGTACCCGGCCGCCTCCACCTCCTTCAGCCAGCGGTCCCCGCAGGCCCGTGCCCTCTGCCGCAGCTGCTCCCAGCGAGAGCCACCCGCCTTCTTCCTGCAAGAGCCGGAGGAGGAGGAGGAGGAGGAGGAGGAGGAGGAGGAGGAGGACGTGCTCAACGGTGGCGAGCGTGTGGTCTACAAGAGCCTCAGTCAGGAGGACGTGGGGCTGTCCCCTGGGGGCTTCGGGGGCCTGCAGGCGCTCAACCCCAACCGCCTGTCAGCCATGCGGGAGGCCTTCTCCCGGAGCCGCAGCATCAGCACCGATGTGTGACCTGCGCCTGCCATGCCTGGGTGCCCTGAGACCATGATGGGCTTCCCAGGGTGCTCCAGCCCAGCCCTGGGCCCGGACCCACATCCCTGTCCTCTTGCAGGCCCAGGCTTGGGAGCCCAGGGGTGAGGCTCACTGAGCAGGGGCAGGTGTGCCCTGGAGGAATAGGGCCAGCTGGGGCCAGGCTGGAAGGGACATGGGTCACTCATCCCTGCTAAGTGAAGCAGGCAGGGCATGGCCAGGGTGCTCACGCACTGAGGCCACCAGGCCACGGTGAAGGATAGTGGGAGTAAGGCCTCCTTCTCAGCCCCACAGCCCAAACTTGGCACGGCCCCCTTCCCTGGCACTCAGCCCTTCTGCTTACACAGACAGGGTGAACACTAGGGTCCTTGCAGCCCAGCCTTCCCTGGGAGCCTGGACCAAGGATTATCCCCACACCCTGAAGACAGGAGCCCACTTTCTTTTCTTTGGAGACAGAGGCCTCACTTTTTTGCCCTCGGTGAAGTGCCATGGGGTCACATCTCTTGCCTCAGCCTCCCAAGTAGCTGGGACTACAGGCGCCCACCACAATGCCTGGCTATTTTTGTTGTTGCAGTTTGGCTGGGGCTGGGTTTGAACCCGCCACCCTCGGTATATGGGGCCAGCGCCCTACTCACTGAGCCACAGGCACTGCCCGGAGCCCACTTTCTACGTCCTCTTCCCCCTTCTGCTCCGTCTTTACCTCTCTCTCCCTCTCCCCTCCCCTTCTCCCACAGTGTCCCTCCCTCTCAATCCACCCAGGTACACACACACACACTTGCAGCTTCCAGGGCTGAGACACTGGGTGTGCTAAGCTCTGCACAGGGACAGGTCCCCCTAGGAGGGATAGTTCCAGTGACTGAGTTTTTGGTGAAAGAAGGTGCAGAGAGAGGGAAGAGGCTGAAATGCCACCCAGTCCTCTGACAGAACTTCCCCGACAGGCAGGAGCTGGAAGAAAGAGGCTCTTGAGGCTGAGGGGGTCAGAGACTCCCCGCTCCCCTCAGCCTCCACCTCCTGCCTTGTGTGATGAGGGAAAGGTCTCAGAGAACCCTTTGGGTCCTGCTCCACCCTCTGGCCTGCCTCCTGCTTCTCAAGAGGGTCTGGGAGCCAGGCACTGGGCCACGACAGGCCATGTGGAGACCCATCAGGTCCACTCTCCACCAGGCTCCAGCCAGGCTCAGGGCTGCAGGGCTCCTTACCCACTCCCTAGCTCCCTCTGTCTGCTGAGGAAACACTGCCAGGTAGATGGCACCCAGAGACATGCCCAGCCCAGGACTCCAGCATGGGGAGTGCGGCATGCTCTGCTGCAAAAGGATTTTCTCTGTCTGCGGTGTGCTCACAGCCCTTCCCTCTCTAGGGCCCTGTGGCCTTCTGCCTCGGCCAGTGGGCAGACAAGCCCCCAGCTAAGGCACTTCCTAAGAGACAGGCTTTGGGGCCAGTGGCCTGGCTTCCTGCTCTCATCCCACAGCACCCTGAGGCTTGGGTGAAGACTTAACTATTTTTGGCATCCTCACTTTTTCCTTCTCTTCCTTTCTCCTGCCTGGTTGGGGCATGCTGACGGATTCGGCTGAGGCCCCTGAGCCATCTCCCAGCTTCCTCTTTCCCACCCTCCCAGTGGAGTTTGCTTCTGATGCATCAGCTTGGGGGGTGGGCGGGTGGGGGGCCAGGAGGCAGCACCTTTGCGCTGTTCTGTTTCCCCTTCCCTTCCTTCCTGTTCCCGTCCCCTATGTAGACACGTAGGTCTCCAAAAAAAAAACGAGCACCCATCATCCCAGCTCGCCCGGCTCCACTGGGGGCCTGCAGGGGACTCCCCAAGGAAAGCAAAGCCAATAAAACGTGTCTCCCACTTACCTGATGAGTCTTTAGTCTGCCAGGGTACACCGGTCCAGACCCCTCTCTGCAGCTCCCCGGGAAGGGCCGGCAGGGGGGCTGCCAGGCGAGGGCCCCCCACAGCGACTGTGCTTGAGTTTGCATTTCCCTGGGTAGCTGTGCTGATCTTCCAAGATCAGGAGCCCCCAAGCATGAATCTGAGCCCTGGGAGAGCAGGTTGTGGGTGACCAGCTGGGTCGTGGGACTGTGCCTCCCTGAGCCTGTTTTGACACCCACACGATGAGTGATGGCACCTGCATCGGGGCTCTTAGGAAGATGAAGCAGGCGGTGCTGATGGAGCACATGGCACAAGGCCTGGCATACAGTTAGTGCACAATAAGTTCTGGCAGAAGGGAGGGTGGGGGAGGGAAAGGAAAGCAGAGATGATAATGGGCATGGATGAGGTGCAGAGGACAAGCCGGAGCCCTGGGCCCTGGGCACTCAGCACAGCCCTGGCCAGGCTGGTGCCCTGCAGAAAGCCCATCACAGGCCTTGGCTTCTGGACTCAGGGACTGAAAAGAAACTCTGGTGGCAGGTGCTTACTTTTCCCCTCAGTGCCCAGGCACACAGACACACAGACAAGAACACATGGGACGTGCCTCAGTTTCCCCAAACCCCAAATCTTGGGAAGCTGTCCCTATCTGGGATAGGTTGACCCGAATTGTAGTAAGCAGCCTATCAGCACCCCCTCTCTACTGTTGGTGCCCCCAAAAGACACTTTTGTGGCCCTGCTCGGCCCAGAGATGAGTGTGCTTCCCAGGGCAGGCGCACAGCCCACCCCACCCCCCAGCCCCTCCACCAGGCTCTGTTCGGTCATCTTGCTGTACCCTCCCATTTATGCTCTTCCTACCCTCTCATCTGGGAAAAGCCACTATTGCTGCTGGGGCCCTCACCCAGGGCCAGGTCAGGGGCCTCCAGGAACCCAGACACAGTGGGTGGGTGCTGCCTCCTGGCCGGGCTGCCTGCTTAGCTCCAGTCCCTCTCTGCTCCCCCTGAGGAGTTCTCCTCCTGGGGGCTCTGGTGACCAGCATTCCCCCAGGTTCCTCCAGGCCATCCCTGTTCCCCTGCCCCTCAGGCCCTATATCAGGTGATGACAGACTTAAGATTTCAGCTCCATCTGGCCTCTAGCCCCATGTCCTGATGCCCCCAACACCTCTCACTGATGCCCCACTGTCTCTTGCCCCTTGCCTGCTCTGGCCACCTGACCGCTGTCCCCTCAGAGCAGGTACCATGGTCCGTACTCATCCAAGGCCTTGCTGAGCTAGAGAGACCCCTTGTGGCTGCACTCAGCCCTCTGTGTCCCCCAGCTGCCCATACCTTGGGCCAGAGGCCACTGAGAGCCCATGATGCCGCCATAAATACGACCACTTTATTAACATACACAGACGAGCGCTGACGGTGGCTGTAGGGATGAAGCCCACTGTCCCCACCTGTATGGGGGCGAGAGGGTGCCTCTCGCTGGGGCCTGGAGTGTGGCGGCCCTGCCGCGCACACAGGCTCCGCACAGGGGGGCGGAGCAGAGGCTACATTGCAAGAGAGAATCATCTGGAAGGAGTGCACCTGGCCTCCTCACCCCCTGGGCCCCCTCCCCACCCACGACACCTTCCTGGGTTGAGGTCACCTGCAAGGCTCCTTGAAAAGGCCCCGCCTCCCCAGAGAGGGCCTAGACTGTGGGCAGGGTGACGGCCACCTCACTGCTGGGCCCTGGGCCCTGGGCCCTGGCCTCTCCGCTGAGGACTGCTGGGGGCTGCCGCAAACCCAGGAGCCGCACACAAAGATGCTCAAGTTCCAACCGCAGGGGCAGCTCTGTCCAGGGAGGGGCTGACAAGCACTGAGCCCCTGCACAAGTCCATGGGCTCCGTGTCACGCTCTCAGCCCAGTCACCCTGTGGGAGGGTATCTGAGGAGGGCCCTCCAAATCTGCAGCAGCCCCAGGGTGGGGCACTCTGCCTCGGTCTCAAAGGGGCTGCAGCTGCTGGCCTAGGAGTGGGGGGGCCTGCAGGAGCGGCAGCACGCCTTGCTGTAGTACCAGTGGCCACAGAGGTTCACCTTGATGGCCAGGGCACAGTTGGTGCCTGGCTGGTCCTGGCAGCTATCATCTGGGGAAAGAACACATAGTGGGCAGATGCATCAGAAGCAGCCAAGGGGTGAGCACCCCACATTACCTTCCACCTCCTCTCAACTGCCAGCACCCCCTGGACAGGTGGGCCCCATGTCCCCTTTTCCAGGTGTAGGGCAGCAGGCCTCCCCCTGCATGTAAGTCTCCCGTCCAGCTCTCTGGTTCCCAGCCAAGGGACTTAATCTGTGTACCCAGAGGGTATGGAAGAGCTACCCGTCTCACTCCGGAGGCCTAGACAACCCAGCAAGTATGCAAGTGCCCCCCGCCACACCCACCATTCAGCATGTCCAGAGCTGCAACTCGGGGTCTGGCACCTTCCTCCTCCTTCAGGTGCCCAGGCCTGGGACTCTGCTCCAACCCTCCCCTCCATTCCCCTGTGTGCCACCACCCACCATCTCCACTGAGTCCTCCTTGATCTGGCCTCCTCACCTGGGGGCTCTGTGGGGCAGGGCTGCAGGTCACAGGCCTGTCTGCCAACGGGTTTCACCAGTGGGTCGCAGCCACGGACAATGTCAGTCCCCTGGTAGCACTTGACATCCCTCATCCTCACGCCCACTCCACACGTTTTGGTGCACTGTGGGGAGATGGGCGGCATGGGCCAAGTCCCTCACCCAGTGGGGCAGAGACCCTCACCACCGTGCCCACCACCTTCCCCCTGCCGCCTAGCTCCTAGACTGCTGTGAGTGTCAGGGGACCTGGACACGTGGAGCCCATTTGTAACTAGAGCCTGCAGCTCCGGGACTGAGTTGAGGTGACCAGAAGGAATGGGCACAGGCAGGTGGCCAGACTGACTTTCAGTCTGCCCCATGAGTGCGCAGGGCAGGGTGTCCTCGCCTCCCTCATCTCTTGCTGGGTCCTCTGGCTCCAACCCTCCTGGGTCTGTGACGCAGACTACTTGTCATGAGCCAATCAGATGCATTTCCTGAGGCCACCACCCTACATGGCTCTCATCCAGATGTTCCCCGTAGAAAATGCCACTGAGATTTGCTGGACACCAATTACCCTATTGTCTTGCCAAGACCC